TTTTTTTTTTTTTTACTATGCACTAGTGTTCATAAATATAAACTGCATTTTTTTATGAGATATAAAGAGAGAGAAATAATAATAATAATTATAATAATAATAATAATATTAGAGTAGGACGAAATGTTTAAGAAGAAGAAGAAGAAAAATGGGAAAAAAAAGTAAAATCGAATTTTGAACACATTTGACTGTCGACATCTGGTATAAGCTTTTCTATTTTTTTTTGTTTTTTTTTTTTTTAAATAAATTTCACGTATTACACACCAGAAAGAAATAGAAAAAGAGAAAGAGAAGGAATGATAAATAAATAAATAAATTGTTTATAGTGCAGAGGCAAAGGAAGTGCAAAAAAAAAAAGAATTTAGGAAAAAAATTGAGGCACAAAAAAATGGCTTTTTTTGTTTTGTTTTGTTTTCTCAAACAATAAATAATAAAAAAATAACACAAGCTTCGCATGTTGAAGAAGAAAAAAAAACAAATACGAGCGCGCGCACATATAATAAATAAATAAATAAATAGTCCTTCGAAAGGATTATTTTGAAAGTTCATAGAAGAAAAAAAATTAAAAAAATAAAATGGATAGATAAAATGATTTTGAACAGAGATGTGTGTATGTACGTATATGTGTGTGTGTGTATGTGTATGGTTTTTTTTTTGTAATTGAATATTTTATTGTTTCACGATGGGGGATAAAAAAATATTCGTGCGAATAAATAAATTCATTTAAAAAGCTGCGAAAGAAAGAAAGAAAGAACTAGTCGCAAAAAGAAGAAAAAAAAAGAAAGAAGTAAAGTTTATTGTAATAAATAAATAAATAAATAAATAAATACTTAATAAAAACAAAAAAGGACAAGAGAGAGAGAGAGAGAGAAAAAAAGAAAGAATTGTTGCTAAATAAGTAGGCACAAATGGAATTTACTTTACGCCCGTAAATCTTGGCGACTAATGCGAAATTAAATTAAAATAAATTTAAAAAAAAAAAAACACAGAAACCAAAACAAAAACAAAATGTCGTGTCGTAAAAAGATTGACGGTGTCGCGTGTCTTGTGTTCTTATTCTAGTTAATAACAAAATAAATAAATTAAAATTAAATAAAATAAATGAATAAATTAATAAATAAAATAAAAATTAAAACTAAAGAAATGTAACCCGCGCAGAGGGATGTGTGTGGGGGTTGGGGTGGGAATTGCAGAATGTTAAGCGCAAACGAGGGTTAAGAATAGAAGGGGTGGCAAACTCAACTTTGTAGAAAATTGAAAGAAAAAAAAACAAAACAAAATAAAACACGAGTTAAATGATAATCTTTGTACATAAGAAAGGAATGAATAAAAATAAAAAAAAACGAAGAATTAGAAGAAGATGAACAACAACAACAAACAACAAAAAGTAAAATGGAAGTGTGGTATACGTTAATTAAAAAATGATTATAATAAAACAAATTTTAGAATTAATCTACGATAATGAACGTCATTTAATGAATTAAAAAAAAAACAAACAAACAAACAAACAAACATGAATGAAAAATGAAAGAAGGAAGTAAAAATAAAATATATCGGCGCGATATATATTCGAATTATCCCAGGGCGACCGACCGACCACCGTCTATCATTATGGGGTTCAGAGTAAAAATGGCGTTAAGAAGAGCTGAAAGTTTGAATGGACGGTTGTGTTGCATGCGTCTATCTATTGTCGCGTACCTAATGTTAAAAAAAAAAGAAGAAAAACAAACAAAATACGAACACTGTAACACGGTTATCGATTCTCATTATATTTTTGTACATAATTGAGGAGAATTGCTCAAGAAAAATAAAATAAGATTGAAGAAATGACAATTTCCCGATAGATTTTTACGGGAAGAGAAAGAGAGGGAGAGAGAGAGAGAGAGAGTGAGAGAGAGAGGGAGAGAGAGAATGTGTGTGAAAGTGAGAGAGCTTGCTATGAAAGTCTTGTTTATGCTAATCACATGAAAGATTATAATTACGTAGAAAAAAAAAACCTTTTGAAGAAGATTATGGGTACGTGAGAAAATTGTTAAGCTCATTTCTTTAAAAAAAGAAAAAAAAAAAACAATAACAACAAAAAGTAAAAAGAACAAACAAAATAATAATTCAACAAATTCGTCGTCTCTCTTTACACCTATGGAAAATGTGGACGAATGTGAAAAAAAAAACAAACAAAGATGGCTGAGAAAAATAGGTAGGTGAGATAAAAGACGTATAATGATTACGTATTTACATATATATATATATATATATATATTATGATCTAGGAAAAATTAAGGGAAGGGGGAAGAGAAATAATTAATTAATATAACAAAGTGAATCGTTGAATGAGAAAAAGTTGAAATAATAAGAAGAGAAAAACATTCGTAAATAAACAAAAAAAAAAAACAAAAAAAGTTTCAATAGAGATTTTATTTATAGTTTATTTATTGGGAGTTATATTTTTATTCATAATCAAAAATATATGAGAGATACGAATAAATGAATCATGTTTCGTACAATGGTTGCTAAAAAGAACGACTTGTTCATTTCATTTTTACGTCAATTAATTAATATAATACAATTTTATCGATTATTCTCCTCGATCCTGCATTTTATTTTTTTCATCTTATCGACGAACTTTTAAATTACGCGCCAAAAGAAACTAAGCATCGTAACCAACTGTTCGATACACTTCGATATATACAGGTGTTTATTTGTTATCCTATCGACGAAATTTTGAATTACGCGCCAAAAGAAACTAAACCTCGTAACCAGCTGTTCGGTATACGTCGATATATACAGGTGTTAATTAGTTATCTTATCGACGAAATTTTGAATTACGCGCCAAAAGAAACTAAGCTTCATAACCAGCTGTTCGATACACGTAGAGATATACAGGTGTTCGATTAATCGATGATAAGTGGTGCCATCTGTAGACAAGAGATCAATTTAAAATGTAATCCCGCGCTTTTTCATGTATCCTTCTCTATCACCAAACGTTAAGGTTAGATCATTACTAAACTATTGGTTGGAATAATTGGAATTTTCTTGTAATAAATGGTGCATATATTAAATCGACGAACCTTTAGTTATAAACAAAGAGGACGAAGACGACGTGGATTAATCGGAAAAAGGAAGAACTACGAATAATAAGAAGATGAGGTTAAAAATGGGTTACTAGTTACTCTGACATCAATTCAGTCTTTGAGAAGAAGGGGAAGAAGATCGATCTCATCTTAAACATAAGAAATAAGGTAATGACACGTGGTAATATAACACTAGGAATCTATCATCCAATCATCTTATAGATAATTATTACATTTATTACAAAATAATAATTATTTCAAATTAAATGACAATCACATTCTGACATTGTTGATTGTTTCGTAAGTGTGTTTATAAATGTGTTATCAATCAATCAATCAATCATAATTCATATTCATTTGTCACAGTGCTCTCGTAAATTTGTTGTGTTAGATTAAAATGAAAAAGAAACAAGAAAAACAAAAGATATAAAGGTTAGAAGGAATGTGCGCATGCGCACGACCCGAGCCAAAATTTAATGTCCCCTACTTTTTTCACTTCTTCATGGAAAATCATTTTCACTTGTACGACGAGTGTTTTTAAAGTTCTCTTATTACTATTGCAATTTTAAATGTTTTATTAAATAATAAATATATAATGTTATTATTTAAATATTATCACGTTTTTGTTTGACAGCACGAATTCTTTATCTTATTATTTATATATATATATATATGTATATATATATGTCATACGTGTTTTTTGTCATACCGATCGTTATATCAATGTTAAAAATTTTAAATGTTTAATCGGTTAAAATAATAAATTTAAAGATATTAATAAAAATCAAGAAAAAAATTGAATAACGTAAAAGAAACAAATACGAAACAACAACAACAACAGCAAGGTACACACGAACTATCATCATCATCATCATATGGTAACCCCGCCCAATGATTTATTTTTTTTAACATAAATTTTTCTTGTAATTATAAAAAAATCAAAATGTAAAATTAACAAATATTATTAACCTTTATTCAATTATCTAATAATCAATTGTAGGTTAGAAAATGATTTAGTCGTGTGAAGTGTGAAATAAACGTGCGCGCGCTTACGCGTTCCAAATTCCGTTCCTTTCATTCAAACGTTCGTCGTTCGTAAAAGTACTACGTGAGTTGTTTCATTCGTTCGTTCGTTAGTTCGTTCGTTCTTCGCGTTTCTCTCATTTCGAGAAATAAAAAAAAGAAAAAAGAAAAGCAAAAAAAAAAGTTTATTTCGTGTTCTTCTTTTTTTTATCCCCCCCTCCCCTCCCCTTTCGTAAGAATATAATCCCTTATCATATTTATGGGATAAATTGATAATTTATAATAATGTCGAATATTAAATAACTGGTAAGGATTTAATCGATGCTGTTGTGTCATATTATTTCGAATAAGAATAAGAAGAAGAAAAAGAAGAAGGAGGAGGAAGAGGAGGAGGAGGAAAAAGGACATATATACAAAAGAAAAAGGCTGACGCGTGTGTATGTGTATTTTTTGTGCGTGTTGTGTGTGTTGTATGTTTGTACGTGCGCGCGTCTCCTACACTTGGTATGTATTTTCTTATTTTTTTTTTTTTTGCTTCTTCGTAATAATCGCACGACCATATTTAAATTTTGTTTTAATTCTTTATTAACATGTCATTAATGCAAAATATTATTACAAAAATAACACATTTTATGAAATAAACATATATATATGTATATATGTGAGAAAAAAAGAAAAGGCAAATTGACATGATTGATCGATTCGCACGGATTAATTTTGATTGATCGATTGATCAATCGATTGATCGATAGATCGCAAAATGGCGGGAACAAATTTACTGGAAAAAGATTGAAACACGTCTGGTAAGGTTCGTCGAGCAGCGATTAAAATAGAACTCAAATTTTTCAACTTGGTCATTTTCTATTAATAGATATCCCGTTTGGTCGTTTCACGTTTCTTGCTTCAACAAAACGAAATTCATGCTTAGTATGCAAATAATTATTTGCTCGATAATTAAAACGATGACGATTGATAATTATGATGATGATGACGTATTAGAGAATTTTCAGAATTTTTTTTCTTTTTTTTTTTCACCATTTTTGGTGGTGAGGATAAGAGTGGAGAGGAAAGGAAAGTGAAGCAAGAAGGAATGTATAATTATTCACCTTTTAAATAAATAAGTCAAATGTATTATTAAATCAGTTATTTAATAATAATTTAAATTAATTATTATTCAATAGTATTATTAAAATTACATTTGAAATTTATAATTAAATTTAAAAATCAATTTTATTTAATTATTTTATATATATATAAATATATTTACATTTAATAATTAAAGGTTAATTAAAGGTTTAATATAATATAATATAAATAATAAATTATGTTAAATTAATTATAATATAATAATTAAATTATATATATATAAATATATTTACATTTAATAATTNATAATTTATAATAATAAACAAAAATGTCTACTTTCGTCATTCACATTCGAAAAAAAAAAAAAAAAAAAAAAAAACAATATGGTTATTTAAAAAAACAAAACAAAACAACAACAAAAAGAAGAACCGTGCTTCTGTATAAAATTATTAATAACAAATATACGTGTGATGATTATGTTGGAATTTAGGTCGGCATTTAAAAAATAAGAAAGAAAAAAAATGTCACACGTGCGATAAAGAGTATCTTACGATAATTTACATACGTCAGTTATTTTACAGATTGTAAAAATAATGATTTGAAGAATCAAATGATTTTCTCAGCCTTAATACTAAAACACACACACACACATATATATATATATATATATATATATATATATATATATATATATATATCTCTTTTGATAGACATATAGTTATGAGTCATGTTGATCGCTTGTTCGTTGAAATAAAATGAAACCGCATATGTCATCGAACGAATTTATCACTTCGTTATCCAAGAAGCAGCTGATACTTTCAAACAAAAAAATTCATTTCTTCATTAACTTGTTTTATTTGATTTCTATATCAAACCATCATTCTATATATATATATATATATATATCATATGTTATATTGAAGTGTTTTAAGTATTAGATTAATCAACTTAATGATAAATACAATATGACATATTTCTACTGTTAATTTAAATAACAATCGATTATTGTATTAATTGTATTTAATTGTATAGGTAACCACACGTTATGTTACCTAATTAAAAAAAAAAAATAATAATAATAATTTTATCGGGTTGTCCTGAAAGTAGTTCGTGCCGATTTTGACTGAAGATGGAAGATGCAACCTTATTTCAGTTTTTGTTTTGTTATATATTATTATATTGTTTTTATAATTATATTTATATATATATATATAACTATAAATAATATAAATAAATATAAAAATAATATAATAATAATAAATTATAAATATATTTTTAATTAGCAAGTATTATTGTTATATAATATTATATATATATTATTAAATTATTATTAATATTTATTATTATTATAATATATTGTAATAATATATAAATATAATATAATATATTATAATAATAATATAAATTATTATAATATATAAATTATATTAAATTATTAATTCATTATTAAATTATAATAGAAAATGTATATTAATTATTAAATTTACATATATTATTATATAAAAAAATATATAATATTTATATAAATTAAAACATTATAGTTTTTATTAATATATATACATATATTATATATTATAATAATAATATGTATTATTAATAATTAAATAATAAATTAAATAATAAAGTAATAAATAGTAATATATATTATTATATATATATAAATTAATTTAATATAAATATAATATTAAAATTAAATATTACATATATGAACATATTTATATAATTATTAATATAATTATTAATATAATAATAAATATAATAAATAAATATAATAACTTTAAAATTTCGTGTTTCGAGAACTTTTCAGGTTTTTTTTTTTTATCAAAAGAACTGTAATGCCATCTATCGAAAATCGGCACGAACTTTTCGGACAACCCCAATACACATAACAATTGTTTGCAAAATTTCAACCCCCATTTTTTTTACCTTTTATAAATGTTTGATCAAATCAATCAATTCAATCAAATTGTTTAAACATTTCAAATTATATTTTCTCATGAAACACCATAACAACAAGAAGCTTGAGAAAACATTTTTAAATAAAATGTATAGAATTATAAATTATTGTTCATATTTAAAAAAAAAAAACAATAAGATTGCAATTGATGAAGAAAAATAAAAGAAGAAGAAAAAGTAGAAAATGTGATGGTCGTTTATTCAGGCCATGTGCTCTGATTATTCGCCAAAGATTCGATCGATGTTGTTAGGGGACGTTGAGAAAGCTTTGAGGGGTGGCTTGATATAAAAAAGAAAGGAGAAAGTGAGTCAGGGATAGGAAGATGAAGTAGTGGGAGAAGGGGGTAAACCTTTTGGTTTTGGGTTAGTCGTCTAGGTAAGAGTGTGATGGTAAGAAAGGTTGGGTGGTTAGGTTAGGTTTGAGTATTAAAAGTACATAGTGACCGACAATTTCTTCTTGTCTAACGACAATCAGTGAGCAAAGGATTAATATCTCTTTGATAGTTCGACTGATGTGAAAACGGAGTAGTATATAAGGCGTGTCTCTTTGAAACATTTTACATACACCATGTTCTAAGCTGAATATGTATCTGTGTATGTATTTATATACATAAGATATATATCGTGGTAGTTGTAATGTTGTTTGGTTGTCATATGGTGACCTAAAACTCATGCTAGTTACTTTCTATTAAATCATTTTTTACTATATCATCCTATATCTTCTTCTTCATCTTCATCTTCATCTGCACCTGTAGCAAGTAAAAGTTGCATCTAATACAAGTTTCATTTCCAATGAAATTGTTGTACATATGTTGATTGTTTAAATTTGTTCTAATGAAACAAAAGTACATTATGAATTGTAATATCTTCTTCATCTTCACCTTCTTCTTCATTGTCTTCTTCATCTTCATCTGCAGCTGTAGCAAGTGAAGGGTTGCATCTAACACAAGTTTAATTTTAAACACTTGTTGAAATTGTTAAATACTGTACATTTCATTGTTTTAATTTGTTCTAATGAAACAAAAATATAATATTAATTGTAATACCTTCTTTATCTTCATCTTCATCTTCATCTTCTGCAGCTGTAGCAAGTGAAGGGTTGCATCAAACACAATTTTAATTTTCAACAGAATTGTTGTACACTTGTTTGTTTAAATTTGTTCTAATAAAATCATAATAAAACATTAATTGTAATATCTTCTTCATCTTCATCTGCAGCTGTAGCAAGTGAAAGGTTGTATCTAACACAAGTTTAATTTTCAACAAAATTATTGTACACTAGATTGTTTAAATTTGTTCTAATGAAACAAAAATATAATATGAATTATAATATCTTCTTCATCTTCACCTTCTTTTTCATTGTCTTCTTCATCTTCATCTGCAGCTGTAGCAAGTGAAGGGTTGCATCAAACACAATTTTAATTTTCAACAAAATTGTTGTACACTTGATTGTTTAAATTTATTCTAATGAAATTATAATAGAACATTAATTGTAATATCTTCTTCATCTTCTTCTTCATCTTCTTCTTCTTCATTTTTTTCTTCATCTTCATCTGCAGCTGTTGCAAGTGAAGGGTTGACTCTAACACAAGTTTAATTTTCAAAACTTATTAAAATTGTTAAATGCTGTACACTTGATTGTTTAAATTTGTTCTAATAAAGCAATAATAGAATATTAATTAATATTAAATAAATAAATATGAAAATATTTGTTTTCAGTATTTGATGAGTGGTTGGGCGAGAGGGTACAGCTTTCGTTGTCAACCAGTCGATTACTCAACCAATCCTTTAGCACTCAGGATGGCGAATACATGTTGGTGGTATTACTTCAGTAAATTCACCGAATTCTTCGATACGGTAAGAGTACAATTTAAATATTTAACAAAAAGAATGAAAAATATATCAAACATTAATTATTATGATAAATAAAATAACATGGTTTATCAAATATTTGCAAATTACATTTTAAAAACTTTGTTTCACGTAATACAAAGATATCAATGCACGTGTACAATTGTCCATTAATGTTAGATAATCATAACCTCAAATATTAGTAATATTTATCGCAGTAATTTGAATGATAAGTTAAAAAAAAAAAAAAAAAGAATGAAATAATAATTGAAAATGTTTCTTTCAACAGTTATTCTTTATCCTGAGAAAAAAGAATCAGCACGTGTCCACCCTTCACGTGATACACCACGGTGTTATGCCATTTTCCGTCTGGATGGGAATGAAGTTTGCGCCGGGTGGTCATAGTACATTTTTCGCTCTATTGAACACATTCGTCCACATAATCATGTATTTCTATTACATGGTTGCAGCAATGGGACCGCGTTATCAAAAATATATATGGTGGAAGAAATATTTAACAACGTTACAAATGGTAAATATAAATGAACACAATATCAAATATAATATACACATTAAATTATTTATTTCAAATGCATTGTATCATTATGTAATATTCTTGATTGTATTATGTTTTTTGTTCATTTATTCCTCCCTCTTTCTCTTCTCTCTCTTTTTCTTCTGTTTTCAGGTGCAGTTTGTATTGATCATGATGCACCAGTTCCAATTACTCTTCACGGATTGCGACTATCCACGAAGTTTCATGATTTGGATAGGTCTACATGGATTTTTATTCTTCGGTCTTTTCTCAGACTTTTATAAAATGAAATATACCATTGGAAAAACAAATGCTAGGAGTAGTAGTAATAATCGTCGCATGACAACAACAAAAACAACAGCAACAGCAAATGGAACAAGTAACAACAACAACAATGGTGGTGGTGCTTGTATGCCAATATTAGAAGATTATCATCATAATCATACAACTAAATCGAAACAAAATGGTATATCAACGTATGCAACTATTTATAACAAAGAGTACAACAGTTGTTACAGCAATGGTACAAACAACGGTTACGTGGCTAACAACAACACTGAGAAAAAGCTCGCTTAGGGTCGTGCCACCATCTCGAAGATGATGATGAATAATAATAATGATAAATTAATTATTTCTTCGAGACATGTAAGATCATCAACATCCGCTCGCCTCATAGAATTATTTTACATTCCGTTAAATGCGAATATTAATAATAATAATAATAATTATAATTATAATAATAATAATAATAATAATAATAATCATTCGCATTGACGCCAATTATACAAAACAAAAATATGACGATGAAATGTGACAGTCGCTGCCAAACAATCGCACATAGTGTCCACCAAAGACAACATAGACAAAAAAATATTTAAAAAAAGAAAAAGAAAGCGAGAGAGATAGAAAAATATAACTATGAATGAATTAGACAATTTTTCACGAAAGATGAGAGAGATAAAACTAGTCCCTCGTATACGAAGATTCATCGAGAGAGAGAGAGAGAAAGAGAGAAAGAGAAAGAAAAAAAGAAAGAAACAACGTGTACAATTATTTTCTTTGCTACAAGTCTTTATCTTTGTTATTTTATTCTTTTTTGTTCACACATTTACCCCCCGTAGAAAATAAAAATAACCTTTTTTTTCATATTAATTTGATGTGACACCACAACTGTCAACCAACAAACAACCCTAAGTGTCTGAATCAAAGAAAAATTGAAGGAAAATGGCTGACAGGAAAGTTGGTTGTTCTGTTTAGGAAAACAATATTTTCTTCGAAGATATAATTAATGAAAAGGACTACGGATATTATCAAATAATTAAATAAATAAATGGATACGAATATAATAATAATAATAAGATATAAATGTGTGTGTGTGTGTGTGTCCGAGAGAGGAGGCAGAGCGGATTCTAAACGAAACGCGCACAATATTTAAGTAATTCAAAGAAACAAACAGTAAAGAAAAGAAAAGAAAAGAAAAAAAAAAGGAAGGAACCATAAAGAACAAATTGAAAAAAGATTTAATAATAAATAATAATAATTATTATTTATTAGTCCCATGTGGGTTGGTGGTAATTGTTTAAACAAAGAGTTCTTTCCATTTTTCTTTTATATTTGTAATAATAATTTATCCGTTGCACGTGGACTCATGTGCCCAGCAAAGTAGCATCAGCAACATGAAAAATACGTGCGACATTGTTTTATATGTGATTTAATGGTATTATGGTTTGTAAAAAAAAAAGGGAGAGGGTGGGGGTTGATGGGTGGGAGGGGATCCTTAAAAACTTAAAATACATTTACACGGACCATACACTTAAAAAAAAAAAAAAAGAACAAATGATACGCCCCTTTAAACACTTAACAACAACAACAAACAACACTTGACACACGTAGTGACATAGACGTTAAAACATACATTTCCATAGAAACAAAAAAAAAATCAACTCCACATCACATTTAATTTCATCGTCATTGAAATGATCATCATCAACATCATCATCATAATCATAATCATCATCATCATAATCATATTCGTCGTCTTGTCCGCGTCTCTCTATCGCCCTTATTGTGTTCAAAGGCTTTGGTGTTCGTCATAGAATTTAAGCGTTTGCCCTTTGCGTGGTGCGCGCGTACATTTAAATTGGGACCCTTAACAATATCGGGGGAAAAAAAAAATATAATATATATACGCATTCTTGAGGGTGGGGTTAGGGTCCCTTTTGTTCTTCTGGGTAAACCCTTTCAGGGTCCTCCTAGCATACGCGAATAGGGTGCTGGTTCTAAGTTACTATACCGTTTTTCTTATATAAAACACACAAAAGAAAAAAAAAGAAAAAAGAAAATTAAAAAAAAATATATATGCGATATTAGAAAAGGTGCCCTTAGTGTGAGGTGGGGGTAGGGGTGAGTAGGGTAGGGAAGGG